CATGTGTGCAAGCGAAACACAGGGGGGTGGACGGGACGCCACAGGCCTCGGGTTCTTGCCTTGCCAGGAAGTCATGGGGCTGAGGGCGGGTTGTGGCCTGTGCAGGAGGTAAACCGGAACCTCCAGCAGAACCACTAAAGAAAGACAGGCGAGTGTGTAACGCAGAAGCTAACAGAAGGGAGAAACGGAATAAAAGGAAGGGGGAGCAGTAGAAAATCGCAGCAGGAAGATGCGGGCAAGTCCAGCGGCGTGGGTAACCCCCGACGGTAGTTACAATAAAACGCAAGCCATCTCAACACTCGGTCGGGGGCAAATGCCAGGCTGGAGCTGGGAAGAAAACTGGAAGGCCTGCTGCGCACCAAAGGCACACTTTACACACGCGGCCCCAGGGAGGTGGGAAGCAGAAGGTGTGCCAGGCAAACACCATCGAGTCAAGACCCTGGTCACTGCATCACCGTCAGAGATGCGGACTTTTGGGCCACCCCCCCGCCCCCCGTGAGTGGAGAAAACAGGGAGGCTTTCCCAACGCCCAGAGGGTCCTCGCTACCAAGGAGGGCAGGAGCCCACGTTTCTAGGTGACCAATCACAGAGCTTCAAATGCACAAGCAAGTGCTGCCCTGGCTGGTGTGGCTCAGTGGACTGAGCGCAGGCCTGCAAACCAAAAGGTCTCAGGTTGGATCCCCAGTCAGGGCACGTGCCTGGGTTGCAGGCCAGGTCCCCAGTAGGGGGCACACAAGAGGCAACCATACACTGATGTTTTTCTCCCACTCTTTCTCCCTCCCTTCCCCTCTCTCCAAAATCTTTTTTAAGCACACACACACACACACACACACACACACACACAGGGAAATATTCGCTGCTGTACATGGGACTCATACATGCAGTGAATCAGAAGGACGGAAGTGGGCAGACGCCCAGCAGGGGAACGGGGTTGCACCTGGGTCCCAGCTGTGTCTCACCTGACGCAGAGGCGGACACCGCGGGGTGCAGGGGCTAGGGGCTCATTAGGGTTTGTTGAAATACGCTCTCTGTGCTCATCTGTAAGTTTTTAAATACTGCAATAGAAAACTGGAAATCAAACCAACCGTGATGTGTTACTAAAAGCACACAGAGCCCTGGCCAGGTGGCTCGGTTGGTTGGAGCGCGGTCCCGTGCTCCACCAGGTCATGGTCCGACCCCAGTCGGGGTGCACATGGGAGACAGTGGGTCAATGTCAGTGGGTCAATGTTTCTCTCTCTCTCCCTTCTTCTCTTTTAAATCAATAAACGTATCCTCTGGTGCGGATTTTTCTTAAGCATACAGAAGGATACTGCTCATTGTACTGTTCTTAACACCCAAAACACAGGGAAAGTCTAACAAAATGGAGTCTGTGTGAACGCCACCACACACCCATAAGATACAAAATACCACACAGAGACTGGCCACGGCGTGGCAGGAATCTCAAAAGCATTCCTTGAGTGAAAAAAAGCCAAACACAAAAGAATGCACACTGCATGTTGCCATTTCTATGAAGTTCAAGAACAGGCGACATTACCCTGCGGTGACAGGTCAGAAGGTGAGGGGACAATTGCCTGGAAAGAGGCGCGAGGTTGGGAGGGGGACACTCTGAGCTGACGGAAATGCTCTGGTAAGGCGAGTGCGTTCAGCTTTCAAAGCTATCTATCTACTCGTTCAGCCCAGATGCGCATTTTATTACCTAGGCCTTGACTTTGAAAAAGGCAGGTAGTGCCACGTGGATAAGGTGGGTAAACGGCTACTAGATACCTACTAGGTTGCAAATCATCAAGAAAAAGCGAACCGACCCCGCTTTTGCGCAGAGAAGATGCATTCAGAAACGCGCGTCCCGACATCCTCCCCAAGCGCGGCGGGCGCGAGTCGGCGGCAGAGGGCGCGCACGGACCGCGGAGACTGCGGCGCTCCAACCTGCCCGACGGCGGGACTCGTCCCCGGTCGCGGCCTTCCAGCCTCCCTGGCTCTGCGCACGGTCTGCACGCCCAGGCTAGCTTGGCCGCGATTACTTGCGGGGAACCAGGGCGCCCCTGGACGTTGCCTCACCTGGCACGGCGACCACCGCGGCAAGCCAGGCCCCGCCTGAAACTGTAACCGCCCCCCAGGAGTTCCCTTTCACCTGCGGTCCACCGCTGGGACCCATCTCAGCCTCCTCCACAGGGCGCCCCTGCCCCTCCACACCTGTGCCCAGAGGAGATGCTCACTGCCCAGCAGAGCTGAGAAGGTCTGGGGGCCTGAGGCTCAGGGGCCAGGCAGGGAATCTAGCTCCTGCCCCGGAAAGAACCTAGGGCCATGCAAAGTCACTGTTCCCTCCAGAGAGGGCACCTCCCTACCCATCTGCCCGACTGTGACAGAACACCCGGTGTCGCCTGGTGCTAAGGGCCCCTTTGCAGGAGAAATAGCCCTCAGGGTTATACAGAGCTCAGGGCCTAACCATGCTCCCCTGGCCAGGCACAGCCTGGGGGCTGTGTGTCACTCCCCCCCCCACACACACACACACTTGCAGCTTCCAGAAGGTGCCACGAGGACATCACCACCAGCCCCTCCATTTACCGCCCCTCTGCTCAGGCCTAGCTAGGCACCCCCCAGAGCGCAGCCGGAGTTCTTAGGGGCCAAAGGCAGCCCTGGGCCACACGCAGGCGCTGATGGAACCCGGGCTGGGAGCCCACTTGGACACCCCCACACCCCCTTCCTCCTCCCTACTGGGCTTGCTGGGGCCTGGCCAGGGGAGCAAGCTGGGCTGGGTAACCCCCAACCCCTCGGATGACAGTTCTCCCAGAAAGACAGGGACAGCCTCACCCCTGCAGGTCCTGCACCCACCCAGTCTATCAGGGCTTCCCGAGGCCCTCACCTGCCCCCTCCCGAGGCCCAGCCTCCCCCTCTTCTCAGACACGAAAAGAGCTCAGGGCAGCCAGGCTCCACCGCACTGTCCACCCCGCTCATTGCTGACCCGGCCCTGCATCCTTGCTGGACATCTCCCTTGCTGAGTTCAGCGTCCACCTCTGGCCAGGATCCCTCTTGCTAGCAGGGTTCTCCCAGCTCTGCCGCCCAGCCTGGCTCAGGGAAGGAGGGGAACCTTGCTAAGTAGCCTGAGACTCTCAGGGCTTTGTCCCCCAGCCCCCCAAAAGTTCGTTTCCCCTGCGAGCCGGCTCTCAGCCAGCCACTCCACACACACACACCCCCACACACAGCTGCCTGGATGCTCCTCGGGCCAGAAAGGGACCAGGCCCCACACACTCATTAGACTCCTACTGTGTGCTGGGCTGGGACAGCACAGTCTGGTTGGGAGAACTGGGTGTGAGACGGGGAAGGCGAGGGTCCTCCTAACCCCTGGCCAGCACGCACCCACTGCCCGCTGCCCTCCCCCCTTCCCACTCAGAGTTCCGGGGTCCTGGGTGCCTGCCCGGGCCCGGAGGGGACAGGGCAGTCTTGCCCGCTTCATTTTTGTGACCCTCCTTTCAACCAGCCATGGCTGAAGGCCACCCCCAGCTACCTCTCTCCATGGGAAGGGGCTGCGCATCCTGGGGCCGGAGCCCCTCTCAGGGCCCAGGTGACTCCGGGAAACCTGTGCTGGCTGGAGCTCCAGGCTGGAGAAGTGATCACCTATACTCTCCGCTGGGCAGCCCTGGGGGAGGGGTTAGAAATGTTGGGGGCTGTCCAGTCACACCTCCCCCCAAAGCAATTACCTTCTAGGCCCCCAGGGCTTGTCAGCTCCTGGGGCTGGGCTCTTGGTTCTCAGAAATAAGTCCCAGTGCGTGGCCCGGGGCCCGGACCGGAGAGGGCACTCGGTCGATATCGGAGGGATCAACAGATGTGTGGCGGCTTGCCCACTCTGCCTCCAGCACCCCGGCCTCCTCCTGGAAGAGGGACAAGGTCCTCTTCTGCCCGAGTTGGCGCTTGCCGCCCCACAGGCCGGCTCTGCCGCCAGCCACTGTTTGCAGGTCACCTCCTGGGGTGGCCTCCAGGACACCCACCTGCTCCAGTGTGTCTCTGGCCCCAGTTTGTTTCCGGCCCAACACTAGCCCAAGGTGTAATTACCTATGTTTGCTCCCGCTCTGGACGCCGAGCGTCCAAGCGGTAGGCCGGTAGTGTTCCCACAGTGACCGGCTGGGGGCGGGCGGGCCCTCCCCGGGCGGGCCCTTCCAGTCTTTATTGGGAACGGGGCGGTGGTGGGGGGAGTAATGGGGCGAGGGCGCACACTGTCGGGGTGGGCCCCGGTGAGCGCCGTTGACGGACTGTTTTTCACTGGAAGCGTCAAGGGCTGGAGGTCATCACGGGACTGGGCGGAACAGCGCTGCACTGCTCCCGACACACACACCAGAGTTCACGAGACGTGTGGCCGAGGCAAACTGTCTCGCCTCTGAACTTCCAATCTCCTCCCAGGCGACCTGGAGGCCGGGGTCACCACCTCCGGGAGTCGAGGAGAGGGGTGAGCGTAGAAGCTGCAGGGAGAGAGCTCGGCAGGGCCAGGCTCATGGTGGGCACTCCCGGGCCAGGCCCCGGGCAAGCGAAGGCTCTCCTGGAGGCAGGCCCCGCACAAACAAAGGCTGCGGGGGGCCGGGGGGACGGGGAGAGGCGCAGGAGGCGGGGAGCGAGCGCCAGCTCCGGCCAGTCCTGCGGGGAGAGGATCCCCGCGCGGGACCGGATCAGCCGGACAACACTCCGAGAGTCTACGTGCGGTGAGGCTTGGGTTCCCCGTGCCCGGGCTGGGAAGGCTTCCTGGAGGTGGGGGTCCTAAGCCTCGCATCGGGACACCGCGCGGCCCCTTTAAAACTCAGTGCCCGGGTGCGGGGCGAGGGCAGAGGGCGGACGGCGGCAGCGGCGAGCCGGGCCCCCGCCCCCTGTGGCCGCTGCGTCTCAACGGCACCCAAAGCCGGGCTCCGGCTGACGTCACCTGCCCCCGAGCCGCGCACGCTGATTGGCTGCAGGTGACGTCAGGGGCTTTTTTCGCTCGGCATGACCTCATCCCCGCCGGCGGCCCCGCCCTCCGCCCGGGGCCTGTCACTCGCAGCGGAACCGGCTCCGCGCCCCCAGCCCGGACGCCGGAGCCGGAGCCGAGCCGGAGCCGGAGCAACACCGGCCGCGCCCGCGGAGCCGCGGGGTGGGATGCGCGCCGCGAGTGCGCGTGCCCGCCCGCAGTGCGCGCGCCCCGGCCCGAACGAGCGCTCCCCGCGTCGGCCGCGGCGACGACGGCGGCGACGGCGACGCGGCCCGCACGCTCCCCCGGCCCCTGCCTTGGCTGCGCGGGCCCCCGCCAGGCCCATGGGCGGCGCAGCGGACCCGGCGCGCTGAGCGCGGCGCGGTGCCCCGGTGCGCCCCGGAGGCGAGCGTGAGCGAGGTGAGCAGGGTCGCCGGGCGGGGGGCGCTGGCGGAGAGGAGGTTCACCGGCACGGAACCGGGCGCCCGGCCTGGTCGGGGGTGGGGGCACCAGGTCCGGAGCGCTGGGGTCTGCGCCCGCCCGGCGCCCGGGAGGAGGAGGCGGCTGGGAGGTGAACGGTCCCGGCTCGAGGGATGGCGTCCCCAAACCCAGCTCGCAGGGGTGCCATGGACTAGACAGGGAAGACCTTGCCCCGCTTCTCGCAACGCGGAGAGGACCCGGGCTCGGCCCACGCCCTGCCACCGAAAAGCCGCCTTTCTTCCCGAGATTGCTTCTTATCTTGGTGGGGGGAGGGGTTATGAATAAGGACCCAGGAGGGCCAGCGGGGATCAGTCCCGACCACCGTGCGAGGCCATGATGCCCCACCACCCCTCGAACGCCCCCCCCACACACACACACACGTTGGGGCCCAGAATTGGAGAAGGTCTTCTGCGCCGCGCGCTTGCCGGGGATGCGGAGGCTTTGGCCATGGGGGCGGAGGGCCTTTGCCCTTGGGGAGGGCTACTTCCACCTGACGGGGGGGGGGCTGCAGATCCATCTCCCCTGTGTGCCCAGCCCGCCACAGGCACCCCCACCTCGGGGCGCTCGGCGGGCCCCTGCGGAATAAAGACCTCGCTCGGCCAGGCTGCAGCAGAGGCAGCCGGAGAGCTGGGGGAGGGGCTGGCACTGCCAGGCTGGGTGCAGCCGGCCGCCTTCCGCCTATCTCCCCACCTGGGGGGAGGGGATGTCATAGTCCGGCCTGGAGGGGAAAGGACACCCGGGGCCCGGCCCACACCAGGTCTTCACGTTCCGGGAGAATTTGCCTTCCGGCTTCTACTGGGGCAGTTGGGGGCCAGGAGCTGCAGCGATGCAGTGAGGGGAGCTGGGGGCTGGAGCAGAGTGGTGTCCCCAGTGTTCTCGTTGTGCGGTTGGGGGGGGGCTGCAGGCGGGGGGAGCAGTGTGCTTCCTGGCCCCAGGTCTTCTTGACAGAAGAGCAGTGCTGGACACTGAGTAGCACCCAGCGCCCCCACCCTGCTGGGGAGGACAGATGTCTCCCACATCACACCCGCCAAGGACATGCGGCCGCACCCTGAGGTCCACTGCAGTCGGCCTGGGCTGGGGGAGTTGCTGGCAGGCAAACTCTCTTCCCTTCCTGCCCTCAGCCCTTGGGAGGTTCCTGGGCGCCAGAGGCCACCTCCTAGAAGATGCTGGAGAGCATCCTGTGCTCCGGGCCCCTTCCCCGCATCACCTCCCGGCTCAGGCCTGGTAGCTCTGGGGCCAGAAGTTTCAGCTGCACAGAGGGCTCCAGGGACCGTGGGCTGTGGCCAAGGGAAGTCCGAGGGTGTCCCCGTCCCTACATCTCTGAGATGCGCGCGCGTACAGCTCCACAGGGATGGAGAGGAGAGGCCCAGCCCGACGCAGGGGGAGCGGGCCCTTCGTGAGCCGAGGCACCTCTCCTGGGCAGCTCTGCCTGGGCAGCTGGTTCCCATGTGAAACACAGTGTGCAGTGGCTGGCAGAACCTGGGCTGGCCTGGGTATGTGACATGGGGACAGGTCCTGCAGATCAGTGAGGCTGGGACGAGCCTGGCAGGAACGAGGGAGACCCAGATGTGGTAGCGTCCTGCACGTGCCCTGTCAAGCGCCCACATGCCAAGCCCCTGCCCACCCAGGTTCAGCCTGGACCCCTGGGAACCAGGGGCAAAAGGCCCCTACCCACTGTCTGCCAAGGCCGCAGCCTCCCCTGGCTGGGGGAGGACAAGCTTGGGGCCTGTGATGCTCGCCCCAGGAACTGAGCGGGGAGCAGCGGTGTGAGCTTTTGGAATCCCTGATGAGCGTGGGGTGGGCACCGTGAACTCACCTGGTGTGAGCCCTCGGGCCCCGGCTCTGGAGGGCTCCATGCAGCTGCTGCTGCCCCGGGCGCTGGCGAGCTGCCCCTCTGCTGCCCGCTGTTCCTGAGAGGCCACCGAGGTGTGCCAGGCGCCACTCCTCCTGAGTAAGAGCCACAGTCCCCATCCTCCCAGGCCTGGCGGCCACCTCAGGGAGCAGTGAGCTCCCCGTCACCCGACGCCAAGTGGCAGTGCCCTGTCGAGGGTGCCGTCCTTTGGGAGTTCCCCGGTCACGCGTGCGTTCAAGGACATGGACGTGCTGTGAGGAGCAGGCCCTGGGAGCCAAGGGTGTGAGGCTGAGGAGTGGGCCCCAGGGGCGGGGTGTGCTGGGATTTGGGGGCATCCGGCGCGCAGAAAGTGAGGACGCATGAGGCCAGTGACCACGGGTGTGTGCACACACATTTGCGTGTGACCGCACATGGCAGGGGTGGGGTGAGGGGAGTCGTGGGACAGCAGTGAGCACAGGCCTGTGTGCAGTCAGTGTGCACAGGGCATGTCCCAGCAGGCTCAGCGGCGGGCAGCACCCAGCTGGGACGGGGAGGACTCTCCTGCCTCTGGAGCTGGTGCAGGGGCTGTGCTGCCCTCATTTTCCCCCTGCCCCCGCCGCCCCACACCCAGGCTCTGGAACATGAGGTGGTGCTCCCCCCCGTGGTTCCCAGAAGTGGGGTCTGGTCTGAACCTGGGGTGCGTCCTTGAAGGCAGAGAGGCCCATGACCCTGTCGTGCCTATGGCCGCTGTGCCCAACTGCCTCTTCCGGCCCCAGTCGTCTGCTCGGGGCTGCCCTTAGCTTCTCCACCCCCACTTGGTGCCCAGCCCCGCGTCCGAGTCCACAGCATCCACTTTGGGGAGGGAGAGGTCTCCAAGGAGGCCCTGTGGGTAGCAGTGTGCTCCCAGGAGGCCAGCTCAGCGCAAGAGGGGCTTGGGCCAGAGCTTGGCTGTTCAGAGAAGTTCTTCAAGGGGTGGGAGTCTGCAGGGTGGGTGCCAGACCCTGAGGAGGGTGAGGACCAAGCAGAGCAGAAAGGAGAGGGGCCGCCTGGGGCCTGGCAGGGGTGGTCCCAGGCCCCAGCACCTGGGTACCCGCGGAGACAGGGAGAGGGGTCACTGTGAGGAAGGGGACCTGCGCTGCACAGAGCCAGCCTTGCTCAGCGGCTGCTGCTGCTGCAGGAGTAGCGGTTGCCTGGCACCTCTGCTGTTGCCATGGCAACAACGGAGGTGCTAACTGGCTAATGAGTCCCCCTTGGCTGCAAATAACAATACTGTAGTGGTTAATAGGGCCACGCTGGAGGATCCTGCGGACGCAGGGGGGCACCAGGTACCAGCCTAAGCAGGCTGTCCACACCCCTTCCAGCCCCGGCCCAGCCCAGCCCCAGCCTCCCCTCTGCCCTGCCCTCCTGCCGACTGCGTTCCCGTCTGCGGGGTGGACACCTCCACACCCTGGGCAGGGGCGCACAGGCCCTCCCAGCCCCTTCCCTCCTCCCCGCGCTGCGGTCCATGGCGGCTGCAGCAGCGTTAGATGGGAAGTAACTGCTCCCTGCTGCCTAAGGGGCATGCGGAGGGAGGGCCGCCCCTCCCCACGGTGTCCCCGCTCCGGGTCCTGGGCCTCTGAGCTGGACTCTCAGTTCCACGGCCAAGGGCAGGAGGCTGTGCCCAGACCTGCAGGAGAGGCATGTGGGAGGGGCCCCGGGGGCTGTGGCCCGTGACACCGTGAGGAGGTTCAGGTTACAGCTGCCCAAAACTGCCCGCAAAGGAATCAAATCGGGACCCCGCAGCAGGCAGGCCCCCCCTCAGGAGGGGCAACAGCCCCGGCTGCACCCCCACAGCAGAGGAGCCTGGGAGGCAGGTATCTGTGGGTGGACCCCCTTGCCCCGCCCACCGACCAGGGCCGTCCCAGGCACGTGCCTGAGCACCCGCTCGGTGGTCCGCCTTTGCCGCCACCGCGGGTGGACTCCGCCCACACCTGCCTTGCGCCTGCCTCTCTGTGGACTCCGGCATCACTGCCGCCAGCCTGGGGGCTCACCCGAGGGTGGACCCCAAACAGTGGCTGCTGCCACTGTTGCTTCCAGTGTCGTCTGTCACCACCCTCTGAAGTCTGACCAGTGTTCCCAGCGCTGCAGGCTGGGGGCTTGCTAAAGGGCTCCCCTCCCCGCGGGCCCCAGGGGATACCTCTCTCCCAGCCGCCCGTCACTCCCAAGCTGGCGGGAGTGTGGCAGAGGGGAGAACTGATGGCATGAGGCCTGGGGTTCTGTCCAGTCTCCTTGGTGTGACCTTGGGCTGGTCCCACCTCTTCCCTGAGCCTCAGCTTACCTATCTGCAAAGTAAACTCATCTCCTGACACAGCACACCTCCAGGGCCCGTGATGCGTCTGGGGGCCCAGAGAAAGGCTGGCTGTACCTGCAGACAGGCCAGGTGGAGCCTGGCAGGTGGGGCAGCAGCGGCAGAGGCTTGGCACAGACCCCCAGGAGGGGTCTTTTACCCCTAAGCAGTCCCTTTAACCTCCTCCCCCATCTGTGCGCCCCTCAGCCCGAGGGCCTCTGGAGACCATGCTGAGGGTCCCAGCACCCCCGAGGGTCACCATGCTGACCTTTGTCCTTGGTTGCTCCCCACCCCCCATTGTGGGACCTAATAGCCCCTAGATGATGCCCTCAGACCCCAGGCCCCCACTGTGCTTGGAGCAGCCGGCTGTGGGTGTGGCACGCACCAAGCGGGATGGCACCGACTGCACACCCTCTGTGCGGCAGGCGTGGCCCGCTCCAGGCCATGGCCCGGCGAGCTGGAGAGCGGCGGCTGCAGAGGGGCCCCCACACCACCGAGCCCTCTCCAGCGCCTGCTGGGGCCGCCAGCTCCCCGGAGTCTGCCAGCCTGTGGAGGCAACTCCAACACCCCCATGTACCCACCCAGATTATCAGCTTATAGAGCTCCCGGGCTATTCGGGATCAGAGAGGGGGGGTGTGCTGTGGAGGGGGCTGGACAGCGAGGGGTCCCAGGAGTTGGGAAGGAGTGGGGGCCCGAGAGGGGAGGGGTTGATAGAGCTGCAAGGGCAGGATGCTCAGGCCTCCTCCGACGCCTCCGTGGCCCAGCCCAAGCCCGGAGCCCCTTCCCTCTGATCCCCCACTTTCCCCGAGGCCACCGTGGTGACCGGAGGTTGCAGGCTGGCGGCCCCCTCCCAGGTTCCCAGAACATTCCAGCTCCGTGTGTCACAGGTTCCAATGCTCTCTCACAGAAGAGCCAGAAGGGCACGGATGCGCCCCCAGATGGGAGGGGACCATGGGCACAGGTCGGGACCAGGTGGTCCGTGTCCTGGGACTGCACACGGCCCTTGTGAAGCCTATGCTGACCGGCTACCTCTCCCCACAGGGCTGGCGCCATGCCCGGTCACCCCGCATTCTAGGCCATACCCAGGCCATTGGAGCAGCCCCCGCTCACTTCACGGGGCACCCCCTCCCCACTGCCCACTGCCCACCATGGCCGGGGACCGGCTCCCCAGGAAGGTGATGGACGCCAAGAAGCTGGCCAGCCTGCTGCGGGGCGGGCCCGGGGGGCCCCTGGTCATCGACAGCCGCTCCTTCGTAGAGTACAGCCGCTGGCACGTGCTCAGCTCCGTCAACATCTGCGGCTCCAAGCTGGTGAGGCGGCGGCTGCAGCAGGGCAAGGTGACCATCGCCGAGCTCATCCAGCCCGCCGTGCGCAGCCAGGTACCCGCGCCCAGGCCCCGCCCATGCTCGTGGCGCCCCTCCCTGCCTGGGCCCTAGGGTCCAGGGCTGAGCTCCTCACCCCGTTACTCAGGGACCCCTGGCTTGGACAGCCTCCCCTCCTCTGCCCTTGAACCCAGACCTGGCTCCTCAGGGTCAGAATGCCTGGAGCCAGCCCACACTGCTGGCCATAGCTGGGCACGGCCCACCTGCCCCAGGGAGGGCCACCCTGACACCCACCCCCACCAGCCGCCCTCCCAGAGCCTTTGCCTCCCCCTCCACCCCCCCCCACACACACACACACACACGGAGCTGTCCAGACAAACCCGTGTCCGGGGCCCAGAGAGGGCGCTGTGCGGCTGAGTGAGACAGAGCCAAACGTCAGGCACAGGGCAAGCTGCACCCAAGTGGCAGGGGCCATGCACCCAGGTGGCAGCCGGGTCAGGCGCACTCTCGGGGGACCGCGAGGCCTCAGAGGAGGACAGGAGGGACCAAGAAGCTTATGAGGAGCAGTCCCAGTCCCCAGCCCCCGGTTCATTCCCATCTGGAGTCCTGTGTGGCCCTCACAGAATTCTCTCTATGACCCGCACCAATGTCGCAGGCCACCTGCCGTGGACAGTTTTGTCTCTTCCCAGCAGCATCAGGTCTGCCGGGGAGGGACGGCTGGGCCGTGACCTGCAAAGGCAGGGGCAACGGGGACTGCTGGGGGTCACAGTACAGAGGGCAGAGCTGGCTGTGAGCAGACCCAGGTGACACGGCCGGCTGTCGGGAGCCCCCCACACTGGGCAGACCGCTCCCCGAAGCCTCAGGGAGGGAATCCGGTCATCAATCACCCCTAGCTGGAGCTCCATCCCATTGGCTATTGGTGACATCATCCGGCCGGGCTAGGGGCTCAGCTGGCTTAAGGGCTGAGTGTGCCTGGGGGCGGGGGCGTCAGCCGCTCTCTGAGCAAAAGCTGCGGAACATCTGGCCCGGTCTGGGCATTTGGAGGGGGAGGAGGGCAGGTGGAGCCCCACTCTCCAGCTGCTGCCTCCTGGAGTTGGGGGGCTCTTGCTGAGGCCCTCAGTTCCACATAGCTGACTGGCTGGGGTGTGGGAAGAGGAGAGCCTGGCCCAGAGGTGCCCTGCCTCCGAATCCCGGAAACGTGCTTGGCCCACGTGGGAGCCAGCTCAGGCCGTGGCTGTGTGATCCTGTGTCCGAGGGTCCCCGCATGGGCCCCCTGGGGACGTGTCCCATTCCCCCGTGTCTCTTCCACGTGGGCCTCGCCCTTCTGTCCTGTGAGTGTGAGTGAGAAGAGGCTGCATCGGGCAGCACTGCCCCCCTGCGCCCACCCCGCCCATCCCCAGTCTCAGCCTGCAAGCCCGTGGGCCCTGCACCTGACCGGTGTAGGATGGGCGTCTGGGTGCCTGCCCCCCCCCCGCTCCGCCCTGTCCCCTGAGCCCCTGCCTGGCGGCACCTTGACCTCTGCCCTCCCGGCCCCCAGGTGGAGGCCGAGGAGCCACCGCAGGACGTGGTGGTCTACGACCAGAGCACCCGGGACGCCAGCCTGCTGGCTGCAGACAGCTTCCTCTCCATCCTGCTCAGCAAGCTGGATGGCTGCTTCCACAGTGTGGCCATCCTCACAGGTGAGCCCGGTGTCCTGGGGATGCAGGGTGCCTCTCCCTCCGCCTCTCCGCCCCACTGTCTGCTCGGCTGGGTGTCGGGTACCTCGGGAGTTGGGGTCCTGGGTCCACCCTGTTCTTTCTGAGCGTCCATTGGGATGGGGGGGGACCTTGGTAGCTCTGGAGTTCTCCTGGCTCCACCATCCCCTCCCCCGGACTCCCATGCTTCAAGACTCCCCCCAGTATCAGGTGCAGAGGTGAATGGATGGAAACCCAAGATGCCTCTGGTGGGCGGGGGGGAGACATCCAGGCAAAGGTGTGGCTTGCTGGGGACTGTCCCCCACCAGCTGCCCCAGGGGAAGGTACAGGCCCCAGCATCTGGAAACCCCAATCTGGCCTAAGATGGTCCCCACACAGGGAGGCACCCAGGGCTCCCTCCCAGCCAGGATGCTCATGACCCCAGCCTGGAGACCCTCAGGGGTCCCTGCAGGGCTTCCTATTCCCCCCCCCCAGTAGCCAGGCCAACCCGGAGGCTGGAAAGTCCCCCTCCCTCACATTCACAAACCAGCTCGATGGCCCAGCTGGCTCCTGAGTCAGCCTGCCGAGCTCCATAGCCACAGTGCTCAGGGCAGACCCCTTGGAGGAGGTGCCGGGTCTGAGCCCAGCACGGCCAGTCAGTGGGGGGCACAGGCACGTGTGCCGCCCTCCACACATGTGTCTGGCGTGGCCCAGAGCTTGCATGGCTGGGCCTGTGTGGTCGGAGGGGTCAGCATCCGTGGGTGGCACTGGGACGCTGGCAGTCAGCACCCACTGGCCTGTGAGTCCCCCCTGGGCTGCTCCCAAGCTCACCCGGGTGACATGCAGGATGTGTGTCCCTGAGGGGCCAGAGCCCCTCACTGCCCAACCCTTCAAAGTGAAGCTGTGTGCTCCCATTTGTCCCAGAGCCCAGCCAGGAGGGAGTCCTGCCGCTCATGGTATAAGGGTGGCTCCCAGGGACACCAAGTCAGGACCCAGGCCTAGGGACAGCCCCCTGGCCTTGCTCACAGCTCCCACCCCATCCAGGCAAGCGGACCCTTGAGCAGTGAGAATAGGAAGTCCAAGCCCTGCAGGGAGGTGGGTGCTGTCCACCCAGAAGGGGGAAGCGCAGGAACCCAGCACAGAGGGAGGAGCCAGAAGTTGCGGGCTGACCCCTGGGGGGAGAGGTGAAGAAGGGCTCTGAGGAGCCCCAAGATGAGGACCACCGTGCCGGGAGAGGGCCCCACCCCCACCCATGACAAGGAGGTGGGTGAAAGCGAGAGAAGGCAGTGGGGTCAGGCGCCCTAGGGTGCGAGAACTTGCGGCTGTGATCCCCATCCCCATCCCCCTCCCCACGTTGCGGATAGGCTGTGGCGTCCAGTGCGGGCAGGGATGGGAAGGGGAGCCTGGCCCTTTAAGCGTCCGGAGCCCGGAGCCGGCGTTTGCTCGCGCGCGGCACTGCGGAATGCAGGGATGCCGCCGCCGCTGGACCAGTGCGCTCCTGCGGCTCGGCCCCGCACGCATCGCCCTCGGACCCGGGCTGAGGGCCACAGCGGGAGCAGCCTCAGCAAAGAGGGTGGGTGGGAACCCGCCATGGAGGGAGGGGTGGGGACATCTTTAGGGCTGGAGCGTGCGGTGGCAGAAGCCGTGGCTGGGGCGGCGGCTGGGCGCGCGTGCAGGCGGGCAGGGCGCGCGTCCGGGCGCGCGCTTTTGCTCGAGGAATCCGGGATCTCATTGTGAGGGGCAGGCCAGCCGCTGCACCCTCCCGCACTCTCCAGGCAGCAGAGGGAGCGGGTTAGTTGGGGAGGGGCCGCTTCTGAGTGGAGGTGCCCTTAGGGATGCCTAGGGCCTCGCGGCGGCGTCCGGTACCTCGGAGTGCTGGGACCTGCACATTCCAGGTCTGCTGCCACGGCTTCGCTCCTCAGCTCCCATGCTTAGAGCTTTGTGGCAGCCCTGCTTTCTGGCCATACCTGGCATCTATGGGGGGGGGGGGGCTCCCCACGCTGGTTAGCTGTGCCCAGGAGGATCCTGGGGGGCGTTTTTGAGAAACTGCCGCAGAGGCTGGCAGGTCTCTGCACCTGCGTGGAGACTTCCCTCTTGGGGAGGGGCTCCTGCTGCCCCCCAGCACACTTTGGCCACACTGCTCTGAACAGGAAGGGTCCCTGGCTCCAGATGGTGAGCAGGAGCCAACTCCAGGCTCCAGCTTAGCTTCCTGTCCTGGTAACCTGTGAGCCATGGTGTCAAGAATCATTTCCCTGGAGGGAAATGACTTCTCCTCAAAGGCTTGAGCCTCCCCTCCCCCTCCTGGAGGTCCCCATCTCCATGCCCCCCATCCTGCCCAGAGTCAAACCCTCACTGGGGGCTCTGGGAGCATTCTGGTTGGGGGGTCAGCGTACACTGGCCGGGGAGCTGGACCAGGGTGCAGGTGGCGCGCCCAGCATCTCCAACCTCGGGAGTCAGCAGGTCTCTGGCACCAGCTGCTCCCAGGCACCAGACCCCACCCCACGCTCCTGCCTCCTTCAGTGGGGCAGGGTCGGCCGTGGCCCCCTGTTTGGTGAGACAGGCTGGTCCACTGGGGCTGGAAATGGCAGCTGCTGGGCAGGGAGCGGCGAAGGTGCCACAGGGCTTGTGCCCCCAGAAGCGTGGTCAGCCTCAGGGGCCCACCAGGCAGGCCTTCCTCATTCTCCCAAGAGCTGGCAGCCACCGGGCACTGCCCAGTTGCTGGTCCAACTCAGTGGTCACCCGGCCAGGCTGGGTGGAAGTGAGTCCATTCCCACTATGTGGCAGGCAGGACAGGGGACAGCCCTGCCTGTGGGCACTCACTGACTCAGAGGCACACGGGGGAAGACCCCAGCTCAGGCCATCTCAGCCAGTGGGGGGCTCCCTCCTCCGACCGTGGCCCAGGACTCAGATGTGCTGTGCAGGGACAGTGCCAGGGGTGGCAGTGTGTGTGCCAGCCGCAGGGACCCTGAGTGCCCGCTGCCTGCCCCTTGTCCTCCCAGTGCCCTGGGTGCCCGGCTCCTCCGGTTCTGCTGGTGGAGTGGAGCCACCGTGGGGCACAGAGGACCCCATGGGCTGTGCCAATCCCAGCAGGTGATGTCATGCCCGGGAGGAGGGGGGGCCCTCAGAAACTCTTGCCTCCGGGTCCTGGAACCCACACCGGGCCTGGGGCTCCGAGCCAGATGGAGGCAAGGAGGCATTGCATCAGCCCAGGGCGAGAGGGAAGCCCCGGCCTGGCCCCAGTAGCCCCACAGAAGACCCCCGGCGCCACCATGGAGCCCGCCCCTGCCCGGGCCTGCGGTGCTGCCTGTTGACTGCCACCGCGACCCCGCGTTTTACTGGCGTCACAACAGCGTCCTGCTAGAGGAGGAATGTGGGCGTAGGGGCGGGCTGCGGACACAGTGCTCCGCGCCAGCGCAGGAGCCACAGTGCGCTGAGATGGCCCTCCAGCCCTGGGCGCTGAGCCCGGGTGCTCAGATCGGAGGGTCAGCCGCGGGGGGCCGGGCTGGGTGTGGCTGCGACCCCGCGGTGGTCGGTGCCCCGGGCCCCCTCCCTCCACAACGGCCTGCCCGACAGTCTCTTCCATTCGGTCCTCCTGCAGGGGGCTTCGCCACCTTCTCCTCCTGCTTCCCCGGCCTCTGCGAGGGCAAGCCCGCTGCCCTGCTGCCCGTGAGCCTCTCCCAGCCCTGCCTGCCCGTGCCCAGCGTGGGCCTGACCCGCATCCTGCCCCACCTCTACCTGGGCTCTCAGAAGGATGTCCTGAACAAGGTGTGCGCAGGGCCCCGGGGCAAGGACACTCTGGGCTTGTCTGGGGGAGAAAGGGAGCCGAAGGCTAACGGGAGGGACGGACGAGCGCAGGCTGGGGGCACAGGAGGACCAGAGTCGAGCTGGGGGAAGGGCCGGGCAGGACAGGGTGGAGAAGCAGCTCACTGCCCCTGGGCGGCAGAGCCCACATGCCAAACTGCTGATGTCACTGGGCCCCTGGCCAGCGCTGAAAAGAATCCCGTGTTTTAAAAATGGTGACGAGGAAAGAGGGTGAAGCCACCGCCCAGGCAGCCCTGAGATTCCTGGGAGCAGGGGCGGGCTGTGGGCGGGGTTGTGGGCGGGGCTTGCCGAGACTGCGAGCCGGGGTGGGAGTGGGCGGGGCGACTTCGGAGGCCGAGGGCCGTGGGCTCGCGAGGTCCTTGCCCGGTTGCACCCGCTTCCAACCTGTCCTCCGGCCCCTCCAGGATCTGATGACCCAAAACGGAATAAGCTACGTCCTCAATGCCAGCAACTCCTGCCCCAAGCCCGACTTCATCTGCGAGAGCCGCTTCATGCGCATCCCCATCAACGACAACTACTGTGAAAAGCTGCTGCCCTGGCTGGACAAGTCCATCGAGTTCATCGGTGAGAGGGGCGCCCTACCCCCACTCCGCGGGCAGCGGGGCGCGGGGCGGGTTCCCTGCCTGGTGCGAGGAGGGGCTGGGCAACTCCCGCACTCACCCGTCCCTGTGCCCCCACTGCCCGCAGATAAAGCCAAGCTGTCCAGCTGCCAAGTCATTGTCCACTGTCTAGCCGGCATCTCCCGCTCTGCCACCATCGCCATCGCTTACATCATGAAGACCATGGGCATGTCCTCGGACGACGCCTACAGGTAGCCCACCCTCCGTCTGAGACCTGAGACCTGAGACCACCTCCTCCCTCTCTGCCCTGGAGCATCAGCGCAGCCCTGGGCTCTGGGCCCCGGGCAGGGGGAGGGGCGGAGAGGCCTGAATCCGGCCCCAGCCCGGCGGGTCTGCACAGCAGCCGGCGTGCTCCGGAATGGGCCGTGGGTGCAGGGGAGAGGCGGGTGGGTGGCCCGCTCTGGCGAGAAGCCCTCTGGTCACCCCGCTGCCTCTCACCCCAGGTTCGTGAAGGACCGGCGCCCGTCCATCTCGCCCAACTTCAACTTCCTGGGCCAGCTGCTAGAGTACGAGCAGAGCCTGAAGCTGCTGGCCGCCCTGCAGGGCGGGGGGGCCACGCTCCCGGGGACGCCCGAGCCCCTCCCGGGCCCTGCGGCCCCACTGCCGCCACTGCCACCACCTACCTCAGAGAGCGCGGCCACGGGGGGTGCAGCGGCCAGCCAGGCCGGGGAGGGCGCCCCCAGTGCCACCAGCGCCGCCGACGGCGGGGAGCCCCCCTCACCCTCCGGGGCCCCCGCCACCAGCGCACTGCAGCAGGGCCTCCGAGGCCTGCACCTCTCCTCCGACCGCCTCCAGGACACAAACCGCCTCAAGCGCTCCTTCTCGCTGGACATCAAGTCCGCCTACGCCCCCAGCCAGCGGCCCAGCGGCCCCGGGCCCTCCGACCCTGGCGAGGCCCCCAAGCTCTGCAAGCTGGACAGCCCTTCGGGGGGCACGCTAGGCCTCCCCTCGCCCAGCCCCGACAGCGCAGACCCGGCGCCTGAGTCTCGCCCGCGACCCCGCCGGCGGCCCCGGCCTCCAGCAGGCTCCCCCGCACGCTCCCCTGGATATGGCCTCGGCCTGAACTTTGGGGACGCCGCCCGGCAGACTCCACGGCACGGACTCTCCGCCCTGTCCGCCCCCGGGTTGCCTGGCCCCGGCCAGCCGGCCAGCCCCGGGGCCTGGGCGCCGCCCCTGGACTCCCCCGGCACGCCTTCTCCGGATGGGCCCTGGTGCTTCAGCCCGGAGGGTGCGCAGGGCGCCCGGTTTGCGCCCTTCAGCCTGGCCGGCCCGCAGGGCACGGGCGGCGGCAGCGACTTGCGGAGGCGGGAGGCGGCGAGGGCCGAGTCCCGGGACGCGCGGACCAGCTGGCCTGAAGAGCCAGCCCCGGAGACACAGTTCAAGCGCCGGAGCTGCCAGATGGAGTTCGAGGAGTGCATGGTGGAGGGGTGCGCGCGCGGCGAGGAGCTGGCCGCCCTGGGCAAGCAGGCCAGCTTCTCGGGCAGCGTGGAGGTCATCGAGGTGTCCTGACGGTGGCCGGGACCCAGCGCCCCGAGCCCTCCGCTGCCCTCGGCTGGGCCGCCAGCAGCCGGGCCCCCTATAAATATATATTATATATAATGCAAAGAAAGGTAAATGGTTTTACTGCGATTTTTATCAAGAAGTAAATATTTCAATTTTTTATTTATTGAAGCTGTTCATTCTGGCCATGATTTGGCAACAGTGAGGGTGGCCCTCCAAGCTCTATTTTTAGTCCGGTATTTAAACTGAGACACGTTTCTAAGCAATATGAGGCCACCCGCAAGTGGCAAGCTGGGGTGCCAGGCCTGGGGTCCCCTCCTCGCCAGCCCTAACCCCAGATGACACCACTAACCGTTGCAAAGAGGCTGCAGGGCTTTCGTGCACTTTTTACATAAGAAAAAGGGGGAAAAAGAAAAAAAAACTTTGCCACAAACTGAGCCGCAGAAACTTCCCGCCTGCCCTCCCTGCCCACCTCTCTGCCTCCTCTCCTCTCTCCACTCCTTTCTGGGGCCCTGGGGGCGGTGGTCCCAGAGTCCCTGCCACCCGCCACCAGCTCCAGGCACCATGTCTGGGTGCCACGGAAGGGGCCCCCGCCGCCCATCCCCGATCCTGGGCTCGTGCCTGGCTGGTGCTGGCCAGCACGGGGCCTGCTCAGCCCCCGTGTGTGTGAAGGCCTGGGAAACAGAACCGGGTAGGACTTTCGTGCCGAGGGCTCTTGCGTGTCAGATGGCGTGGGGCCCAGGGCAGGGACGGAGGTGGAGCGCCCCCACCCCAGCCTGAGCCCAGGTCCCCTTTCATGCTCAGCAAGGCTGTTCAGAGGCTGCTTCCCTCCCTTCCACTCTGGGTGCCCCCAGCACCACCTGCAGGTGTGGGGACCCAGGAAGAGGGTTTGCTGGCTCCCCTGTTCCCCAGGCAGCTGAGTGTAGGGTGTTGCTCTGGGTTCTTCCCTCCACCAGCCCCAGCCCCAGGCCAGACTCAGAAGTCAGGTTTATTCCCTCAGGGGAGGGGCCAGGAAGCCAGGTCAGACCCTGTGCATCTGGGGTGGCATCCTTAGCTTTGAGAGAGCCAGCTTGGGGCAGGAGACCCCTGACCTGAACGGAGGCAGGACTCGGCCCCAGTCTGCCCTACCCCCACAGGGGCCTCAGAGGAGGAGACTCCCGCACACCCCATTCCCAGGAGCTCTTCCCTCCAAGGTCTCCCAGACTCGTCAGGGGGATGTGCTGGTCCCCACCGCAGAAGGCTTTTGGCCCGGCTGGGCCGGCCGGGGAGTCAGGGCAAGAACAGGGGCCCAGCTACCCTGGCCCGCACCCCATGGGTTATTGGGACCCAAGCATTTTGGGGGCAGGAGTAGATGTCCCCTGAGCTTCAGAAGTCTGGGGTCTAAGGGTTGGGCCCGACCACCCTGGGAAGAGGCCGAGGCCCGGAGCTTGGCAGGAGGGCGGCCCCAGCAGGACTGAGTCCCCGAGCAGGGTGGGAGGTGCCTGCCTCGCGCCAGCCACCCCCCCTGGCTGTTTCTGTTTGTTCTTCAGACCCACCGCCCTGTGTCCCTGTCATGCCTCCTTTAAGCAGAAGTCCCGTTCCTGTCCTCTCTGTCCCCACCCCGTTCCCCAAGAAATAAGCTATCATTGTTGTATTTGCAATCTATGGATTAGAAGTTTAAGTATTTATTATTATTGGTTAATTATTATTATTGATTATGTAAATTTGCCTCCTGTTCGTCTATCGCGTTGGGTTTCTGAGGTGACCCGGGCATGGAGGATGCACCGGCCCCCCCTCTGCACCCCACCCCTGTGCTGTCCAGGAGACAGTGGTCTGGGCCGCCGGTTGGGCTCAGCACTCGGAAGGCGGGTCCGAGTGCTGGCCCTTCCCTCCCTCACCCTCTCTCCAGGCTGCAGCAGCTCACACAGCGGTGTCTGTCCTGGGGGGTGTGGGGCTCTTGCTCTTGAAGCACTGGGCGCCCCAAAGTGAGCAGCTGCAATGCAGGAGAAGGTCCCCCTTCTGTGCTGGGGGGGCCTCCCTGGTCCTTTCCACCCAGTCCCAGGCAGGGAGGGGAGGAGCTTCAGTCCTCTCCACGTCTCCCTCTGCCTCCTACCTTCCTGCCGTGCCCCCCGCCCTGTGCCTGGCACTGGTGTGGCCCCAACATGGCTCAGGCCCCCCCCTGTTACTTGCTGGGAAGTCCAGCAGAGGAGAGGCGGCAGGCCCCTCCTGACCCCTATAGCACAGCACCCAGTCCCTGAACTGGACCACCCGCCAACCCTGCCTCAGACCCCTCCTCCAACGCGGCCACTGTCCTGTTCCCTTCTTTTGTATTTGGAAAAAACGTGTTGTAATAAATCCTGAGATGGATGTTTTCTCCAAGCCTCCGGCTGCCTCTTTCTTCAGCGTGGGGGTGGGGGGAAGGGAGGGCAGGGAGGGGGTCCTGAAGGCACCCCCACACCCTGAGGCCAGGAACCCAGCATGTTGGGCCCCGAACCCACAGGGCAGAGGGCAGCTTGGGGGAGGCGCTGGGAGGGCCAGTGTGCAGAGGGCGAAGCACAGGCCTAAGCTGAGCCCCGGACGCAGCATCCCCTCACTGCTGCCGCTAGCAATGTTGTAAATAACTTACAACCATGTGAACAAAAACTCAGTTTTGCCCTTCAAGTCCCCCCCACCTCGGTCTCCTGGAGGCACAACTGGGAACCGGTGCGTCCCCGCAGACCTCCTGGGGTCCCGCGGGGGCCCACGCGTGTGCACACCTCACCCCGGCTTTCCCTTCTCATCAGAGGTAGGGCCTGGCCCACTGGAGCGTCTGCGCCAGCTCTTTAAATGTTATGCAAATGACTTACTGACATCAGTCAGCGTTTACATGGTACAAGGGCCCCTGGTGTCTCTGGGCTCCTCTCCCTGGAGGCAGCCCCGCCCACCTGCAGGCCCCCCCCCCGTGCCAGGGCAGCGGGGCGGGGCGGGTGTGTGTGCGCATGCGTGCGTGTGCGCCTGAGCCTGCAGTGCGGCCGCTGCTTCCCGGGGACGGGCGTGGCGACAGCACTTCCCCGGGTCCCTCCTGGGTTTGCCCCGCCGCTGCCACACTGCGGCTCCTGCTGCTGAGCACCCCCGTGCGCCAGGCAACCCCCTCCCCAACGTGTTTCTCAGAAACTTCACTCCGCCTCCAGGCAGCTCGGGACAGGCCCCTCCCGTGGTCCTGAGGCCCAGACTGTGTGAGACCTGGTAGGGGTCTGACCTGGCGACACCACCAGACCTATGTGTGTGCATTTGTGTGTGCGAGCGCACGTGCGCGCTCGTCTGCACACAGAGGGGCTGCTGGAGGAGCCAGGATCCTTGAACCCTGTATCCTTCAGAGTTCTCAAAGAGACCGAGAGCTGGAAACACCGGCCAGCAGCTCCAGCAAAGCTATTTTTAGCTCCAGAACATCTATTTATAACTCTGGCAGCCCCTTGGAGTCAATAAAAGGAGGACGAGAAAGAGCCGGTGGCTGTCTCCAGCAGCATGGCCATGGGCACCCCCAGCCAGGTGCTGGAGAGCCCCTGCAGCAGGGGCGGGGTCCCCACGGGCAGTGACTTGCTGGAGCGCTGACACCTGGGACCCTGGGGCAGTGCGGGGCCCCAAATAGGGGTGGGCAACCTCTGATCAGGTCGACCAGGCAGCTATGGTTCCACGCACTGGAGGGCTGAGCAGAGCAGGTAGTGAGGCAAGGCTGCAACCAAGCCGGGCCACCGTGGCTGGCCTCCTCCCGCTCCAGCCAAAGCGTGACCCCTGCTCCCCTAAATGCTGGGTGAGTCCCCTCCGCCTCTGTGTCCCCCAGGTCAGGTGACAGCTGTAGGCCTTGCAGGCTCGGGGTAGTGAGTAGAGAGTGGGAACAGGCTGCATGGTGTGGGTCTTGGCCCATCGGTGGTGGTGCTGCTGGTTAGGGACATCTGGCCCACCACCCTGGGCCCCCACAGACATGTCCCAGACCAGAACCAGGGCTGGGCTGGCCGACCCCGTGGTTCTTAGAGTGACTCAAGTCGCACCTCAGCGCCAACCCTGGGGAATTTCGGAAAACGAGGTTCGTCGGTCTGTTAGGTCATAGAGGGTGCGTCCACCTGGTGCCCAGGGCCACAGGGAGAGGTGCGGGGGCAGCGTGGATGGAGCTCCACCTTGACCGGGGTCGGGAGTGCCTAGGGCTTTGCAGGTTCGCTCCTTCTCCGCACATTTAAAACAGGAGAGCAGGAAAGAAGGTGCAGGGAGGGGAGAACAGGGCCCCCAGAGTGGTCAGTTATCCAGGTCACCCAGGGCTTTCTGAAAGGGGACTTTGGGGGGGTGGCCGGTGGAACTGGCCATGTGTTTAAGCACAATGGACGCCTTGGAGGCAGCCGACTTAGCAATCCCAGAGCTCAGGGTCAGGCACTTAAATTAAATGAAGCCAGGGATCCAGCACCTGTACCACTAGGGCGGCGGGCGCGTGGGTGGGTGGCTAGGGGGTGGATGTGAGGAGGGCGGGCGAGTAGGTGGCTGGATGGCTGGGTCAGGGTCAGTGGCTGAACGGGACATAAATGAGTGGGCAAGCAGAGGGAAGGGCGGTGGGTAGGTAACTGAATGTATAGATGGGCGGATGGGCGGATGATGGGTGGCTGAGGGGTGGGTGGATAGAAAGTGGGAGGGTGGACAGGCGGGTAAATGGGAGGAAGGCAAGGTCGAGGGAGAGAAGGCGGATGAATAGTTAGGGTCTTACTACATTTTATTACTCTGTCTGTCTGCCTTGCATCGCAGCCAGGTGCTTACTGCGCGGCCCCACCGGACCAGGGAAGGCACTGGGCCCGGAAGGAGGCGCCCCGCAGACATCTAACAAATAACCACAGACCACCTGTGGACACCACCAGGCTGGACACCACCATAGAAGCCTGGTTCAACCCTCTCCGAGGTGCAAGGTGGGGGCCAACTTGGCCCCAGAGAGTTGAGGGTGGGCTCAGGTCCCTGCTGTGCTCTGCCCGGTGGAGCAGACCCCGGAAGTGTGCTGGGAGGGGCCAGCCTCCGTGGCACTCAGGCCCCTCCCCACTCGGACAGCCCTTGTGGTGTGCCTGCGTGGATTTGTCACGGTGCCTCTGATGTGCAGACCCCCTGGGTCTCAGGGAGGCCTGGGCCAGGGGCGGGGCAGTGCCTGCGTGCCAGGTTGCATTTGGAGAGGCTGGGGCCGTGCCGCCAGGGCCTCGGAGAGCGGAGGGGCACGTGCTGGGGCCGCCCTGCGGGCCTCTGCCCCGGTGAGGTCCCACGGGAAGTGGGTGCAGCTCTGCATGACTCTGAATGGCCAGCAGGACGGGGAGTTCCCAGTGTTCCCCAGAAAAGCAATCCATCCTGAGCAGTGTGGCCCCTGCCATCCAGGGAAAGCCCGGCCCCTGAGGATCTGGGCGTGGAACTGGGCAGCTGGGCTCCCATCTCCCCGAAAGGAGCCCAGAGAGCCCGGGGCGGGGGGGGGCGATTGGGCCGGGCTTCTGGCAGGGGTTCCTTCTGCTGGACTGGAGCCTGGGCCAGGACAGGTGTCCTCCCCACCTGGCGGAGGTCACGTGCCCACCCACGGAGGACTCTCAGCCTCTCTGGCGAGGGGGTGTGGAGGTCTGGACTGCTCCGTCAGTGCTAGGGCAGGGGTCTGCAGACAAAGGGCCCTTTGCCAAGGAGTGGCCAGGCTCGATGTCGGGGTAGCGGCTTTATGAAAGGAGAAGGGAGCCCGGGGGCTAGTCTGGTCAGGCAGAAGATGAGGCTGAGATATGGCGCCGGTACCCAGAGCCCAGAGTGAGTCCTGGCGGGGCTGGGATAGAGACCGGTGCCCCCACCCCAGGCCGTCACGGGGCAGGGGAGGCGGCCAGGGGCAGGCCACCCAAACATCCCCTCCTTGGGAACTTTAGGGGAAGGGTTGGGTGAAGGAAGGGAAGTGGGAGGACAGGGGCTCCCCAAAGCCAAGAAGGGGTTCTGTGAGGGAGCTTTGGAAGGACAAGGGTGGGATGGGGGTGACCCCCTGTGGCCCGTAGGGGGACGTCTGTACAGATGGGATGTAAGACTCAGCACAGCAGCAAGGCCTGTCCTCAGGGTGGCCCAGCGGGGGCTTTGGGGAGCAGAAGGCAAAGCTCCCCCAAGTCCGTTCCCTGCCCTGCGTCGGGCGGGGTGCCGGGGCCCCCACCCAACCCCCAGCCTGCGGCTCCTTCCCAGGACCTCAGCCCCAGCTGGGGCCTGCTCTGCCAGCACACACTCACCTGGCCCCATGAGCTCCACTAGGCAGGTGATGCGGGGGACCAGGTGGAGAGTGATGGCACCACTAGCCTCAGGGCCAGGCTCGGCCAGGCTCGGCCTGATGCAGTCTGCGGACATGCCTGTAAATAGCCAAGGAGAACGTGAAATAGAAGTGGGGGACAGACGGGGGTGGAGGGGCCGGGGTCCCGGAGCCCAGTCTGGGGGAGGGAGGGCCTGAGCACCTGATGCCCCAGGAGGGAAACGAAGTCCCAACTGCCCAGCACCCCGCTCCCACCCCGCCATCCCCATGGGGGAATGTTTGGGGAGGTGGGGTGAAGTCCAGAACTCTGCCAGCCCCACTGAAGTGGTGATGAGTGAGGAGCAGGTGCCCACCAAAGCCCCCCCACCAGCCTTCTGTACCAGGCGGCCTGCAGACTCAGTGGCCCTTTCTCTCTGCCTCCCAGGAAGAGGTGGACCAAGATGCCTGCCTCTCCCTCCTCCACCCCCACCTCAGTGAACCTCCCACAGGACCCGGGCCCTGGCCCGATGGACACGGGCCTGCCCAGGCCTGGCAGGAAGGGGGCCCACTCTCCATACCTTGCCCTGCACCACTGCGTAGGTACCTCCTTGGCTGGGAGGGGACTCAGCGGTGTCCCCAACCTGCCCAAGGACACTTGCCCGATGCTGACGGGGAGGACCTAGGGCCCCAGAGCCAGGCTGCTGGTGCCCGTGGCCTTCTGCTCAGGCCCCCCCTCCTCCTGCCCCTCGCCTGGGCATCCAGGGACCCGGGCCAAGAGTGGGCGACCCCAGGCCTCCAGGGCGGAGCCACAGGGTGTCCAAGGCCTCGGCCAGAGGTCAAACGGGGAACTCCAGGGCCTCCTCCCTCCCCAGTGACTTCAGCCCTCCTTCCCACCCCTCCTCCTCTTTGAGGCCCCCCACCCCGGCGCCTGCCCCTCTCTGCTTCCCTTTCCGCTGGTGGGCAGCCCTGGGCAGGGGAGCGGCTGATAAAGAACAAGTGGATGGCACGCCCAGCTAATAGGGCCCTTCCCCTTGAGTCATCCCGAACAGGAAACTGCGGGAGGGCAGGATTTGGGGCAGTAGGGCGGGATGGAGGAGGGGACGTTCCGGGGCCCTCAC